GAATATTGAAGGTTTTCACTAATCCATAATCATCACAATTATAACAAATAAAGGCTTGAAATATCTCACTTTGCATGTAATGAGTCTATATAATATATTAGTTTCTCCTTTTAAGTTGAATTACTGAAATAAATGAACTTTTGCATGATATACAAATTTTTCCAGTTTCACCTGTAAACTTTATTTTGCTCTCCTCACTTACATAAGTGAACTATAGTGTCCTGCACACACTAGTAAATAAATATACACAATTATATCTGGTGTCTGAATAATTTTTGGTTTGACTGTATATAGGTTTAGGGTTAGATTAAAATTCTTAATTTAATTAGAGTAATTTGTCCCTCAATATCATCAGATCCTCATATTACAGTGATTTATGAAGGATCATGTGACACTGAAGACTGGAGTAATGATGCTGAAAATCACAGGAATAAATTACACTTTACTATATATTCGCATAGAAACAGCTGATTTACATTCTAATAATATTTCACTTTTTTTTCGATTTTTCTGTATTTTTGATCAAATGAACGCAGCTTTGGTGAGCAGAAGAAACTTTATTAAATGAATCCGCTGGTTTTAAAGCTGAAAGCGCTGGGTTCCCTGCGTCCGCTGGCCGGCCTCCAGCCTAATGTGTGAACAATTATGAGTGCGTTAAACCATGCGCTATATTTCAAATATGAATATGTAAAAGGAAATTGTATATGACCTGGGAAGTGAGGCGTAAAAACTCCAGGCTGGTTTAAAAGCGGATCTTGGCAAACGCTCCGCTCTCTGGAAAACACAGCCAAACAGTTAATGAGGTGCTGAGTGCTGGAAATATGAAGAACAGCATTATAAATAATACCACTGTGGATCAGAGATGATTATTTGTGAATGACATCCAGAAGGAATGAATCACGATGTGGTTTTCATCCCGCCGGAGCTCTTATAGCAACACTACCATGGTATTATAGGCATGTACCACGGTAATAATCTGTGGTTTCACTACATTAGCATTTGTGTTCGTTTACAATGATTTCACAATTTACAGTACCAGTGTTATTAAAATAATAATAATAAAAAAAGTATTAAAAGTATATGCCAAAATAAAATAAAATAATAATTAATTAAAAGTTTCTGCAAAAAAAAAATATATATATATAAAACTTTTAATTAATTATTTTATTATTTTATTTTGGCATATACTTTTAATACTTTTTTTTATACATCATTCATACATTCATCATTCATACATCATAAATATATATATATATTTAAAAACGGTATTTAAAAGAATGATGTATTAGTAGATAAAACAAAACACAATAATATAACTTTTTGCTACACGCCTATAAATAAATAAATAACAACAAAACAAAAATATTCATTATGCCAAAATAGAATTAAAAATAATAATAATAATAAAAATTGTTAAAAGTATATGCCAAAATAAAATAAAATAAAAATTCATTAAAAGTTTATGCAACAAAAAAAAACGGTATTTCAAAGAATTATCTATTAGTAGATATAAAAAACACAATAATATTAGTTTTTGGTACATGCCTATAAATAAATAAATACCGTAACCAAATAAATACATTTCATCAGAAAAAAACGTGGTGCTACCATATCACACAACATTACCATAGTGTATGTCCAGAAATATGATATTACACTTATGGAAAAATACTGTAGTGATATACCATGATGCAGTGATGTTAATACTGTAAAATAAATACATTTAATTAAAAACATTACCATAGCACTAACATGGCAGTAACACACAAACACAACATTACCAGTTTACTTCAATTACTGACTTCCCAAAAATATGATATTTTCCTTAAGGAACAGTACTTTGGTGGCAATGTTGTGACCATACTACCATGTTTTTGGGGTACTATGGTAATGTTTTTAATTATATGTATTTATTTGTTTGTTGGCATGTACCATGATAATATACCAAACTAATATCACAGTATTCTCTTAAATGCCTTGGAGTAAATATGTAAATATATTGGCACCGTATGTTCAGGTATATTTCAAAGTACCACAGTATCAACATCACTGCATCATGGTTCCACCACAGTAATTTTTCATAAGTGTAATATCATATTTCTGGACATAGACTATGGTAATGTTGTGTGTTTTTTCCTGTTTTTTCTCTGATGATATGTATTAATTTATTTATTTATTTATAGGCATGTACCAAAAATTAATATTATTGTGTTTTTTTATATCTACTAATACATAATTTTTTTAAATACCGTTTATATATATATATATATATATATTTTTTTTTTATTTGCATAAACTTTTAATGAATTTTAATATATTTTGGCATATACTTTTATCACATTTTTATTTATTTATTATTATTTTTAATTCTATTTTGGCATAATGAATATTTTATTTTATTTTGGCATATGCTTGCAATGAAAAATGTGTATTTTATTTTATGCATATACCATGAAATGAGTTTTTTGACATGTGCCAAACTCACACTGCAGTCTTCTCTGAAGCCCCCTAGAGTAAATATCTGAATATAACAGTATATGAATATGGTAATCATGCATTACAATATTACATGTGTATCATGAAGTGCCATGTTTTAATGCAAGTCTTTTCTGAAGCTGAAGGAGAACTGTCTCCCGTCTTCATAAAGTGCTTCCCATTAGTCGCAGTGTCTTTCCCAGCGATGTCATTTCCTGTAAGCAGCGAAGCGTGAAACAAACCTTCCTGCGCTCGCTACACTTCACCAGATCTAACCAGATCAAACCAGAATAAACCAAATCAAACCAGAACAAACCAGATCAAACCAGAATAAACCAAATCAAATCAGAACAAACCAGATCAAACCAGAATAAACCAAATCAAACCAGAATAAACCAAATCAAACCAGAACAAACCAGATCAAACCACCCGTGAAGGGGAATAAACGCCTGTCCCGAATCAAGCTTTTGTTTCGTCTTCCTCCTCCTCATATCCAGTCTGACCAGCTGTCTGGAACCAGCTCTAGAACTCCATTCATCCTCCCACCGCTTCACACACACACACACACACACACACATACATATATTCTGTTGTTTTTTCATGTTCTGTCAGATTAATACATGCAGACGTTTAATAATGTCCAGGTGATCTGAGTGATGATGTTTGAGGAGGAGATGATGGAGATGTGTGTGTGTGTGTGTGTGTGTCCAGCTCTCTCGGGTGGTCTCCAGGGTCAGAGCACCTCGTCTGTGAGCTCTGAGATCAAGTCTGAGGATGAAGGAGACGAGAATCTTCAGGACAGTAAATCTCTGGGTGCCAAGAGCAAGGAGGAGCTGGACAAGGACCTGAACGCTTTAGAGAGGTCGAGATCTAGGTAAACCGTACCAGAGCTTCGCTTCATTCAAACGCCCGCTGGACTTTGATGAAGTGACGCGTGTTCTGAGAGGCAGCTAAACGCACAGATGACAAACCCAATTCAATTCAGTTCACATGTATGTGTAGAGTGCTTTTCACAATACACATCGATTCAAAGCAGCTTTACAGAGAATCCTGAACCAAATCCATATAAACATCAAATATTTATGTTCATTTTTTAATAGGTTTGTTTAATATTACACTTTAAAATAAGGTCTCATTTGTTGAGTTTAGTTAATGCATTAGCCAGGGTTAATACAGTTAACTGAAACTTAAACTAAAACTATATATAAAATAAAATAAATATTTTTTGTTGTTTTAAATTAAATAAATGGTTAACTGGAGTTAGTAAAATAATAGTTACATTAAATTAAAAAAGTAAAATAAAATAAAAGTTTAAAAATACTATAAAATTTAAAATAAAATACAAGTTTAAAAATAAAGTTTAAAAAGTAAAATAAAATAAAATAGAATTTTAAAAGTAAAATAAAATGTAAAAAGGAAAGTAAAATAGAATAGAATTTTTAAAGTAAAATAAAATAAATAGAATAAAAATGTAAAAGTATTTTTTTAATACAATAAAATGTACAAAGTTAAATAAAAGTTAAAAATACAATAAAAATGTTAAAGTAAAATAAAAAAATCTTTTAAATCAAATAATATGTAACAAGTAAATTTAAATATTAAAATGAAATAGAATTTAAAATAAAAATGAAATAAGTTTAAAAATACTATACAATTTAAAAAGTAAAATAAAGTTTAAAAATACAATACAATTTTAATTGACTGAAATAAAAATGAATAAATGCCATATAGACAAATTAAACTTGAATAACAAAAAATAAAATTAAAATATAAAAATAAAATTACACTGAAAACTAATTCAAAATATTAATTGATACTAAACTATAACATACCACTGACAATAGCTAACATTAACAATGAGTAAATATGTTTAACAACGTTTCTGTATTTAATAATACAGAAGAGTTTTATAATAAATCCCACATAATCAACAGCGGCTCCTATGAGAGTTGTTTACGTTCGCATCAGTTTTAATGAACTCTATTCAGGACTCGTTTGGGTGTTCGCATCTCCTCCGGTCTTGAGCCGGGCTTTAGTTGTTTCTCATCTCACATGAGAGTAGGGAACGTCCTGGATCCCAAATTCATCCCAACACTCCCAGACACTTCCAGGATAAACGCCGGACAGGGTTTATAGATTTACACCTGGAATTACCAATTCGATTCAACTCATTCGATTCAAATTTCAAGAGACGATGTTTGTGACTTGATGTGTGATTACTCATGCCATTTTTATTTATATTATGTTTTGTTGGTTTTTGTGTAGAAATCTGCAGCATCTGATCTAGCATTTAATCTTGAATTTTATTTTCCTTTACTTTATATATATATATATGTAGAAAGAGAGAGAGAGAATTTTAGATATTTTTTGTCTAGTATGTTTCTATTGTTTGTTTATATACTATATATATATATATATAATTTTAAATATTTATGTACTTGATATATCTAGAATTTTGTATATTTTTGTCTCTTTTATATATTTTTTATGTACTTTATATATCTAACATTTTATGTACTTTTTATATACTATATATCTAGTATTTTATAAACTTTTGTATCTATTATATCTTTTTATATACTATATATTTATATATATACACTTTTTGTATCTATTATATCTTTTTATATACTTGATATATTTTATATATTTTTTAAATCTGTTAAATATGTACTTTATATATATAGAGAGAGAATTTGATATACTTTTTAAATCTATATCTTTTTATAAATCTAAAAAAAATTACTTTTTGTATCCATTATCTTTTAATGTACATTTTCCTATTCCATTAATCTAGTATTTTCTAATCTATTATACTGTATCTTTTTACATATATCTAGAATTATATATACTTTTCTATCTATTATATTTTTTTATATTCTTGATATATAGTATTTTATATACTTTTACAACTTTTTACATACTTTATATATCTAAAAAAAGACTTTTCTTTTTATGTACTTTTTATATTCCATTTATCTAGTATTTTATGAATCTATTATACTGTCTCTTTTTATATACTTTTATAGAATTATATATACTTTTTGTATCTTATATCTTTTTATATACTTGATAAATTTAGTATTTTATATACTTTTTGAATCTGTTAAATATGTACTTTATATAGAGAGACAATTGTGTACTTTTGATACACTTTTATGAGCTTGAAATGTGTGTAGTTGTAGAGTTAGCATGTGTTATGAGCCTGAGGTCAGTGTAAGTGAGAGATGATACAGTACGAGTACAGTAGTGAGAGATGATACAGTACGAGTACAGTAGTGAGAGAGCTCTATGATCATGTTTAACCCGCAGCAACAACGACGACGAGGACCTGACGCCGGAGCAGAAGCTGGAGCGCGAGAAGGAGCGGCGGATGGCGAATAACGCCCGCGAGCGGCTGCGCGTGCGCGACATCAACGAGGCCTTTAAAGAGCTGGGCCGGATGGTGCAACTCCACCTGAAGAGTGACAAGCCCCAGACCAAACTCCTGATCCTGCACCAGGCCGTCGCCGTCATCCTCAGCCTCGAGCAGCAGGTCCGAGGTCAGTGCTTACTAGAGCAATGAGCATGTGGAGCCGCTGAGGGCCGCTGTTAGCCACGACCCCCTAAACTCACTGTAAAACACGGCTTCAAGGGGCGGATTGCTTTTATTAAACGGTTACTCCATAAAAATATTCATTTTAATATTTATTTTACTTATATTTATATTTATAATATTTATATTTATTTCCAGAGAGGTTGCCAAGCAACACATGCAGCAACAAAGCATCACAAACATCACAAACACTAATGTAATGCGGTCACAGGTGTGTGTGTGTGTGTGTGTGTGTGTGTGTGTGTGTGTGTGTGTGTGTCTGTGTGTGTAACACTAATGTAATGCGGTCACAGGTGTGTGTGTGTGTGTGTGTGTGTGTGTGTGTGTGTGTGTGTGTGTGTGTCTGTGTGTGTAACACTAATGTAATGCGGTCACAGGTGTGTGTGTGTGTGTGTGTGTGTGTGTAACACTAATGTAATGCGGTCACAGGTGTGTGTGTGTGTAACACTAATGTAATGCGGTCACAGGTGTGTGTGTGTGTGTGTAACACTAATGTAATGTGCTCACAGGTGTGTGTGTGTGTGTCTGTGTGTGTAACACTAATGTAATGCGGTCACAGGTGTGTGTGTGTGTGTGTGTGTAACACTGATGTAATGTGCTCACAGGTGTGTGTGTGTGTGTGTGTGTGTGTGTGTGTGTGTCTGTGTGTGTAACACTAATGTAATGCGGTCACAGGTGTGTGTGTGTGTAACACTAATGTAATGCGGTCACAGGTGTGTGTGTGTGTGTGTGTGTGTGTGTGTGTGTGTGTGTGTGTCTGTGTGTGTAACACTAATGTAATGCGGTCACAGGTGTGTATGTGTGTGTGTAACACTAATGTAATGCACTCACAGGTGTGTGTGTGTGTGTGTGTAACACTAATGTAATGCGCTCACAGTTGTGTGTGTGTGTGTGTAACACTGATGTAATGTGCTCACAGGTGTGTGTGTGTGTAACACTAATGTAATGCGGTCACAGGTGTGTGTGTGTGTGTGTGTGTGTGTGTGTGTGCGTGTCTGTGTGTGTAACACTAATGTAATGCGGTCACAGGTGTGTGTGTGTGTGTGTGTGTGTGTCTGTGTGTGTAACACTAATGTAATGCGGTCACAGGTGTGTGTGTGTGTGTAACACTGATGTAATGTGCTCACAGGTGTGTGTGTGTGTGTGTGTGTGTGTGTGTGTGTTTCTGTGTGTGTAACACTAATGTAATGCGGTCACAGGTGTGTGTGTGTGTGTGTGTAACACTAATGTAATGCGGTCACAGGTGTGTGTGTGTGTGTGTAACACTAATGTAATGCGGTCACAGGTGTGTGTGTGTGTAACACTAATGTAATGCGGTCACAGGTGTGTGTGTGTGTGTGTGTGTGTGTGTGTGTGTGTCTGTGTGTGTAACACTAATGTAATGCGGTCACAGGTGTGTATGTGTGTGTGTAACACTAATGTAATGCGCTCACAGTTGTGTGTGTGTGTAACACTGATGTAATGCGGTCACAGGTGTGTGTGTGTGTAACACTAATGTAATGCGGTCACAGGTGTGTGTGTGTGTGTGTGTGTGTAACACTAATGTAATGCGCTCACAGGTGTGTGTGTGTGTGTGTGTGTGTGTGTAACACTAATGTAATGTGCGCACAGGTGTGTGTCTGTGTGTGTAACACTAATGTAATGCACTCACAGGTGTGTGTGTGTGTGTGTGTGTAACACTAATGTAATGCGCTCACAGTTGTGTGTGTGTGTGTGTGTGTGTGTGTGTGTGTGTAACACTGATGTAATGTGCTCACAGGTGTGTGTGTGTGTGTGTCTGTGTGTGTGTGTGTGTGTGTGTGTGTGCGTGTCTGTGTGTGTAACACTAATGTAATGCACTCACAGGTGTGTGTGTGTGTGTGTCTGTGTGTGTAACACTAATGTAATCCACTCACAGGTGTGTGTGTGTGTGTGTGTAACACTAATATAATGCGCTCACAGTTGTGTGTGTGTGTGTGTGTAACACTGATGTAATGTGCTCACAGGTGTGTGTGTGTGCGTGTCTGTGTGTGTAACACTAATGTAATGCGGTCACAGGTGTGTGTGTGTGTGTGTGTAACACTAATGTAATGCGCTCACAGGTGTGTGTGTGTGTGTGTGTGTAACACTAATGTAATGCGCTCACAGGTGTGTGTGTGTGTGTGTGTGTGTGTGTAACACTGATGTAATGTGCTCACAGGTGTGTGTGTGTGTGTGTGTGTCTCTGTGTGTGTAACACTAATGTAATGCGGTCACAGGTGTGTGTGTGTGTGTGTGTGTAACACTAATGTAATGCGGTCACAGGTGTGTGTGTGTGTGTGTGTGTAACACTAATGTAATGCGGTCACAGGTGTGTGTGTGTGTAACACTAATGTAATGCGGCCACAGGTGTGTGTGTGTGTGTGTGTGTGTGTGTAACACTAATGTAATGCGCTCACAGGTGTGTGTGTGTGTGTGTAACACTAATGTAATGCGCTCACAGGTGTGTGTGTGTGTGTGTGTGTGTGTGTGTGTGTGTGTGTGTGTGTGTAACACTAATGTAATGCGCTCACAGGTGTGTGTGTGTAACACTAATGTAATGCGCTCACAGGTGTGTGTGTGTGTGTAACACTAATGTAATGCGCTCACAGGTGTGTGTGTGTGTGTAACACTAATGTAATGCTCTCACAGGTGTGTGTGTAATGCGCTCACAGGTGTGTGTGTGTGTAACACCAATGTGATACGTTCACAGGTGTGTGTGTGTGTTTTTGTGGAGTCATTTACAACGGCTTCGAACGCGGCCGTAAAACTAATATTACTATGATTTTAAACATCTCTTTATTTTTTGTCACTGTTTGCTCAGACTACAAAGTTTTTGGACTGTTTTTCTTTTCCTAAAAATTTGGATTATTGCAAATATAATTAATAAAGTAATAATTATTTATAAAGATTAATGTCAAAATAATATTTATATTGAATAGTATTTTATTTACAATAACAAGAAAAAATATATATTATTTATATTTAATAAAATAACTATATATTTGTATTATATATATCCACAATCTCATATTATTCATATTATATTTTATATGATTAATAATTATAAATTATATTATTTTTAATTATATTGTAAATATTAATAAGTCTTTAAGATTTAAAAATATTTTATAATTATTATAGTACCTGTAATTATTTATAATTAATAGTCTAAATAATATTTATATTAAATATTTTATTTAAAAATAAGCAATTTTATATTATTTATATTTAATAATATAGTAATATATATTTAGAATATTATTATAATAATCTTTTATATATATATATATATATATATGATTTCTTCTACACTATAAAAAATGATCTATATTAAAAATAAACAATATTGTTTATATTTAATAATATATACACTATATATATATATTTAAATTATTAATATTATATCTTATAAGATTAATCATTGTAAATAATAGTATTTTTCAATGATATGACACTGTAAAAAAGTTGCAAATGAAACAAATTATTGGAATACGTTTTACAAGAAAATTTCACGTTAAATTCCACGTGTTACTTGTCGTTTCTCTGTAATTATTTGTGAAATGCTTCTGTTTGGCCGTAATGACACGTTCGTCCCTCTTGATGGCGGCGTATCAGCGACACAAGCACATTGTTCAGTGTTTCTCCAACGCAGTGGATCATCAGTAAACCTGTGTGTGTGTGTGTGTGTGTGTGTTCTCGTTCCAGAGCGTAATCTCAATCCGAAAGCGGCGTGTCTGAAGAGACGAGAAGAGGAGAAGGGGTCGTCGGACGGTGCTGCGCTCTCATTGGCCGGTTCCCACCACAGCATGGGCGAGGCGTCCAATCCCATGGGACAAATGTAAAGAGCCACACCCCCCCGTAAATGGTCAGAATATTTCACTCTACACTAATCTGCTGTTGTACATGTCCCATGATGTGCCTTTAACCCAAGCCAAAACCTCCAATTCGGCCTTTTCACTGCAATCACGTGTTTTGTCTCAAACTTTGGCACGATTGAACAGAATTATTGTAAAAGTGATGCAGAGCGTTTGGACTCAAGCCACTTCAACTCAACGGACTGGTTTTCTGTTGGTGGCAACAAAAGCAAATCCTAATAATAACCTCTAAAAGTGTAACAATGGGCGCATTTTAACAACAGATTGGCCGTATGTGTGGGTTATAATACGTGTACATATAGATTTTGATTTCAAACTATAGACTAAATTTGATTAATTCACAATATATTCAATTAATAAAGCTAACGGATGATATTTGTACACAATGCACATTTGAACATTAAAAGGTACATGTACACAATATCACTGACCATTTCATTCAGATGTTTATGATATGTTTTGTTTGTTTGTTTGTACTGTGAGTGTGTGTGTGTGTGTAACATCAGGTTAAAGCTGAACTGTGCAATGTTCACATGGCATTATGGGTGTGAACAGATTCCAAAGGTTCATGTTCCCCGTGTTAATGACTGTAATGTGCCGGTAATGAGTTTACAACTTATAATTAGGGTAGAATTGAAGGTGCATATCTCTTTCATCTCAAATCATTTGCATATTTTATGATAGAAGCAAATATTCTCCGTAGATATTTTTAAAGATCACATTTTTAGAGGCATACTGTGTGGAAAGTCAGATCAGTGCTATTAGTGTCAATATCATATCTTAAAGCACATCTGATATGAAATATGCACTGAAAAATCATTTTCACTCAGATATTGCACATTTAATTACAAAGACATGGCAAGTAACTCTGAATTAAATGTGAAATGTTGAAGTAGAAAGACTGAAACGGTGTTTTTGTAGTGGCCAAAAGTTCAAATTATTCAAATTGTCAAGATTTTATGAGCATATTGTGTAGTTGTGCTTGGAGTCGATTGTTTTAATTGTGATAATAACGCAATGAAACATGACGGATCGTGTAATCACGACAATTATACAAAGAAATTATAAAAACATGCCAAAACAAGAGAGAACCAACCAGATATTAATATCTGATTATGTTCTAGTCTTTTTCCTATCAGCTTTTTCTTTTTATGTGCACTGATTTTTTGCACACCTGTAGATGTAGTTTGCCTTTTTTGCCAAATTATTTTATTATTCAGTGTTTTGTTCTTCCCTCATATTTAAAATCTGAAAAAATATTATTTTCCTCATATTTCGATGGTTTAATTGAACTAGTAGAGTCATTAACAATCACTTTAAGCCTCGACTGTACTTCATTAACAGTCGATTTATTTAAATATTCAAACAAAAAAACACAAAGAAATTATATTTTGTATAAAGAATATGAAGCATATTTTAGGACTAAGTTGTTTTGCATGACATTATTCTACAAATATATAGTTTTTTTTTAACTAAAATTAACAAAATTGTCAAATAACAGTATTTAGTGTGACATTTTCTTATATTGCATTTAATTTTTGCTGAATTTAACATAACAAAATCATTGTGTCCATAAAGTATAATTTGAAAATACATTTATTTATGTTTTTTTTCTCTCATTACACAATCTATGATTAAATGGGTAAATCTACGGTTATGGAAACAAAAAATTCGTTTTTTGCACTGAAATGTTTGCGAGAGAACGTGAAAACATTGAAATATCTCCCATCTCATATTTTGTCCATCACCACTTTACTAGCGTGTTCGCGATACTTTATGGATATGTTCTATATGTTAACTTCCCTCTCTCTCTATCAGGTCAAAGCTGCCAGAATTCATCAAAATGATGAGCGATCACTTCCTTTGACAGCGTTATTTCTGCCCCTGAACGCCACTCAAACAATCAACGAATCAATCAAACTTCCACCTGACCGACCAACTTCTATGTGTTCCTGTTCCTCACGCCATCTGTGCGGATAGATATATATACATACTGTAAATTACGGAAACACGGCAGAGTCACGTGGGATGGCTGTCCATATCTTCCTCCGAGCATTCCCAGTTCAAAAAGAAGACGTTTTTATGCACACACACACACACACACACACAAAAGATTTGAAGGTGCAGACAGTCGGAGGATTCTTCAAACATATCATGAAGTTGTACAGACGTTTGGAGGTCGGCTCGAGACCAGCCCTCTGATTTCAATGGCAATCCTGTCCACACTGTGGAACTTTAGTAGCTGTGCCTCACGGAACTCCCGGCGGAGGAATAGAACTCTGAGAATTCCCAATCGGAACCTTGGGACGAGAGGGGCTGTCAATCAAACGCACGACGGAATTAGGCTGTAGAATTTCACAAAACCGTTCGCAATAATGTTATTTTAGTTCTCCCCCCCACAAAAGAAAAGCTGACATGGGACGTCCATCTGTTTTGAAACCAGCGGAAGGTTTAGAGGCCGGAACGTTCCTCCACCGGACCGTCAGCGAATGCAGCTTTGGTCTCGAAGACCTCGTGCTCACTTTAGAGGTCAGATGTGCTTCATTAGGTCATTTCTCTCTTCGTTCATTTGTTCCTTCTCCTCTCCTCAAGCCCTTCCGGACCCCGAAGATGCAATTTTAACATGACTAAACTTCAACCAATGTGCCTTTTAGAGCTCATATCATCACACAACTGGAGGAGAACATTATCAGAACTTTCTAGGATGCAAGCTTAGGAAAACGTTAGTCATTAGGTCTATGCAGTCAGGTTTTTTTGCGGCCTGGGATTTAAAAAAAAAAAAAAACGAGTAAAAAGGTCAAAAAAGTATTTTTTTGGGATAAACTGTATTTAATGTACTGTATGGCTATATGTAATTAGAAGGTGTGTCCACCCCCTCGTGGCTCCACCCACAGCCCCGCCCACCTGTCACCACGTCGTTATTGAGCATTGTATTATAGATATCAGCTTTTATGAAAACTGGCTTGTCGTTGAGCCGCTGTAGTCCTCAGTACAAATGTGTGGTCGTACGTGTAAAATGGCTTTTCTCTTTTTTTATCTCTCTATTCTTTGTCTGTACTGGTTTCTCTGTCAAAAAAAAAGGAAAAAAAAATATATGATTACGAACCCGCAGGCGATCTTCGAGGATCGGCGGTGGTTTTATCAACGGGAGGCACTGAAAGTGGACATAAAGTCTATTAGAAAAATCGCTATATATAAATGTAGAAATATATACAGTATATAAACAAAGGAGAGTCCGACGGAAAGGAGAGTTCACGAGGATTGATGTTTCTTGCTTTCTGGAGACGTCCGAGAGAGAGACGTGTGACTCTGTTGTGATATTTTTTTCATAAAGTCGTCGCGATCGTAACGGGACCGAAGTGTCGCTCTCGCTAAAGGGAAACACGGACATTTGTAAATTGTATGCAACAAATGCAAACTTACCATTATTTTGAAATTGTGTGTGTAAAAGTTATATTTTTACATGTAGGCTGTTGTTATTTTGTGTTTAGAAATGAGTTGTATCAGTTTTTTTCCTTTCTTTTTTTTGGGGGGAAAAAAAATTCATTGTGTGTTGAAACGTGTCACATTGAAAATGTAGTGAGAACAAAAAGCAAAAAAAAAAAAATTTGTTTATATTTCTGGGAACATTTTTCTTTTCTAAAGGTGGGTGGTGGGGGTCGGGAAGCAAAGCTATATGATAATTCTCTCATCCTCATTGTCATTTTTTTAATTGAGTATTTTCTGTGTAAATAGAAGTCACGAGCAGGGCTGACGACGTTTGTTTACTGCGTTCCTGCCGTTGATCATGTGGCCTGGTCAAGACGTGATTGGTTAGCGTTTAACGTGTGTCAACAATCAGACCTTAATTTACGTTATCACTTTTTGTAAAGAGACTCGTGACACATCGCTGAAAGAATCGACTCGACTCGACTTTGAAATGACGACTCGGATGCCCTCACACTCAAAAAAAAAAAAATCTCGGGCCTGAATTTAAGATCGATGTCTATGAATTGCATATAAATATTCCATGCATTTGGATGATGCCGTTTTAACAAACAAACTATGCATATTTGTCTGTCATACATAAATGAAACAAGTCAGATTTCTGTAATAATACCAATAAACTGAATGTGTTTTTAATGCAAAGTAACCATGTTTATATTTTTATCCTCAATAAATCAAATTTGTTTCAATCTCATACATTTTAACTAACTCGATATCACTTGTTCCACAGCTAGCCATATTTTATATAGAATTCAGAAACCCTTGTTATTAGCGCCATCGGTGGACGTTAAGTGAAATGCAGCCAGAAACTCCCTGCGCGTGCTCGACTCGTGCACACGTGACGCACAAGAGACTGAACGTGATTCATTGGGTGCTTCTCAATCGACCGTTCGCAAAGACCCGCCCCCTTTGGTTACTGTTGCTATGTCCGACAAGCCACTCTCACAACACACAGTGAAATATACATCGCGCTGACAGACAGGACACACCAGCTTACTTTTGATATGAAACAGTTTCAACTTTTAAAGAAATTTAAACAATAAATACCGTTTTGTGGCTGTTTAATGTGTCGACAGATCGCTAGAGCCTCTTAAATCTGCTCGTGGTCGATCATCTCTTCCTGCTAGTTCATTTATAGCATCAATTAAACATGAATGAACATCAGAAGGAATGTTGTTTTAACTGCGGAAAGACGTCAGTACACCGTTTCTCAAGTTCTCCAACGTTAATCTACTAACTCTCCTGACTGCTTTGTCAGACAAAAATGGCGGATTCGGCGGATTACGATTGGTCAGATCGCCTGTCAATCAAACTCCCTTGCGAAGGGTCAATTCTTCGCATCCTCGTTTCCTTTCCTCGCGTCTCAGCTCCACTCCTGTGGGACGCGAGAGTAGAAAAGGAGGACGGAGGAATCGAAGGAAAGCTTGTTTATACATGTCGAGCATCACTTCACTGCGTCATCAGCAGCATCATAGGATCTGCCCTTATGTTGCATTAGTTTAGTTATTTAAGAAATTCATAATAAATAATAATGCAGCAAGATACCCTGTTGAAATGTGTGAGATGTGTGGTTTATATAAACTGCAAAGGTAAAGTATAAATTAAAATGATTGTGACCGATGAGGAGGGGGGAGGTGTGAATACGTGTGTCACGTTTAGTCGATAAAACACTTCCACAAAGGAGACACCCGACCCGTGTATCCTCACTCATGACTCCTCTAGAAGCTCCTCGATCCTCATTCCTCGCCGTGCAATTAGAGAATTGAGATATCCTTCAAGATGGCTGAGCTCGATGGGTTCCCGGGTCATATGGAGGATCGAGGAGTATTTTTGAGGGGGGATATTGAGAAGCACCCATTCAAGACCCTGATATACTCTCGCCGACATTCTTCTTCATTCTTCGCTTTAGAAGTAAAACCCAGTTAGAAATGCCTTTGCGTGTATATAGCCTACTGTTCACGAACACCCCGACGCTGCTGAGAGCGACGGTTAGATGAATATGAAAATACGCGTTCCTCTCAATAACACAATTAAACACACGACAGAAAAGACAGCGGTGAGAAACAGCAGGTCAGAATCGTAGCGATGTGTGTGTGTGTGTGTGTGTGTGTGTGTGTGTGCACGAGCCCTGCAACTCACCGGCATCATGTCGACAGATTAGGTCATTCAAATTACACTGTTACGATAGTTTGATTTTAAGTAGGCCTATATTTGAGACAATAGATCTGATTATGTGAGACTATAGTTTGAATGAATCCCCTTTCTTTGCCAGACACATTGACTTTACAGTAGTCCAGCTCTTTCTGCATTCTCTCCGGCTCTCGGGAGCGCGGGTTACCGGCACACTCTAGATTTTCCCGGCAAAAACGTCCCGAGTAATAAAAAATCAGGAATTCGGGGAAGGTCTCATTTTTTTTTAAAGTTTACTCACAAGCTGTTCACACAGTGGCAATAAAAAGCGATTAATAGACCCTACATGACAATTCTTACATAGTCCCTTTAACTGAATACATACTATTTTCACTGATTCTAAGCAATTTGAATAAATCCATTTAAAAAATATGATTATTCAAATCAAATTAAAATGATGGAAATAGTTAATAATAGCTAAACTATGCCATGAGTGCAGAAATCATGTAGGCTATGACTGACAAACATGCAGTGCGTTCATTTTAGTAGTTTATTGTTAAAACTGTGTAATCTAAATGCATGGAAAATTTACATTCAATCCAAATACATAAATATTAAATAGTATGCCTAAACATTTTCCGCAACATGCACAATGTCAGTTTTTCTACTTTATTTGCAGGTTCAGAAAGACACTCCAGCAAAAGCCTAGTATTGAAACGTGTGGTACATCTGTACTTTTGCATTGCTTCCGACATGCTAGTGTTCTCGTCCTTCAGTAAACTTTGAACATCTGAAGTTGTGTTTTGCCAGTGCTAAAGATGTTTGACTAATTCTCTCCTTGTGCCACATCATGTTGTTGTAGCCAACTGAATTACTATGATTGCAGTGGAAAAGATGATGTTTTCCTCTTGGTTGTTCATAATGTACATACTTGTTCTTGCTTTTATGAACTGATTTTTTTTTTTTTTTTTTAGTCAAATGCAGAACTGAACTGTAAGCGATCTTTTCCATTCTCAGAAAGCAACCCTGGGCAGTGTCATCTCTGTTTATTTAAGTGCTCCTCACATGGAGGATTGTGAGATAAAGATTATTTGACGCAAACAGCGACGTACAACTGGTCTTTGCTGATTTCTCAACGTGTTTGCCGTGTGCAGCAGGTCGACACATCTGCGCTTTGTGATTATTCGTGTCATTGATTTCAATAAAGAGAGTCGCTCAAATCATCCTCGATATCCACTGCCAGATGAAGCTCGCTGACCTTTCACATCAGTAAAGTGGATCAAAGTGCAGATGTCAATCACACACAAACCAACAATGAAGGGTTGCACAGCATAGAATCATATTTTCAGGTAAAAATATCTTTACAATTGAAGTTTGTGATGCCAAACATAACAATTATGAGTTTGGGGTGAGACTACCTGCACTGTAAAAAATATATATATGATAAATTTTCAACTTTTTTTATTCACGATTAATCGCATCCAAAATAAAAGTTTGTGTTTACATAATATATGTGTGTGTGTACTGTGTATGATTATTTTGTATAAATACACACACATGGATGTATATATTTAAGAAAATGTGTTATTTATATATAATATTAAATTATGTATAAATATATACAGTATATACATGCATGTGTGTTTATATATACAAAATAATTTTACACTGTACACACACATATATATTACTATGTAAACAAACTTTTATTTTGGATGCAATTAATCGTTGCCCAGCACTACTTTTTTTTTAATACGTTATACAAAATTCAACCCATTTTAAGTCAG